CAAGGAAACAGTCCAGAAGGAAAACATGAAAACTAAAGCAACACACAAACTAGAGAGACAGGCAAGATATTACGGGATGGCAGGGAATCAGTCCAGAGGAAGGCGTAGAATCAACAAAACTAATAAAATGTACTGGATGTATTAAGAAGAACAAAGATCTGATAACAGCTTAGAGTAGCAGTAGGCCCGAGAACAGAGAACGAACTGGCAAGGGAGAGGAGTGCGAGCTGGATATAAATATGGTGGGAAACTAAGTGGACGCAGCTGATGATGATAGTGATTGATTGGAGTGAATGGAGGCTGACAAGCAAGAGATGGAGGCGAAAGAAAGATAGGTGCAGCCTTGCGAGCCTCACAAAATCTGATATTTTTCACATATGTGTCTCATTTTACCAGTCAGATTTACCGTTTACTTTTAATAGTACTCAGGTTTACTGTAAGTAACATAAAATTCAGTTGCATTTACTACAATGATTAAAAAAAAGTCACCAGTAATGTGACTTGTGCGGTTGGTATGGTTACAGTATATCACTGGAATAGCCTTTCAGGGAGAAAAATTCTATAAATTTTTGCAGAGTGTGGGTGTCGTGAAGATGTGAATGTGTTGATCATCGTTGCGCGGAAATCGTTGTAGTTTGATGCAATCAAATATTAAGTATAGAATAGGAATACCTACACTGACTTTACAAGAAGGCATTAAAACTGCTTATTTCAGTTTATTGCATTGTTACAAATACCTGTTCACTGTCCTGATCTTTGTTTATCAGTAAAAAACAAAACAAAACAAACAAACCCCTGCAAATCTGAAAAGATCCCCACTGACCAGAAAACGAGAGAGATTCTTTTGCAAATGAAAATGCCCTGCGGTGCAGCATTAACAGAAAGCTAGGTTAATTTAATTAATTTTGAATGGAGCCAATGTCCCACAGTAAAGATTCTCATTGCAGCACACCTCACCATCTTAATTGTATTATTATGCTCCAGTATTGCCATGCAGGATGTTACAGAGTCATCTAGTTGATGAACACTGGCCACCAGACCCCCTGACCTGTTTGTTTTTTCATCTCAGAGCACCCAGATAGCCTCAGCCTT